AGCTGGGGTCTAGAACAATCTGGCAGCGTCCTGGTGGGAGGACGCTGCCTAAATAGAGGTGCAAACAATAACGAAACAGGTGAAACCAATGTGAGTGATGAAGAACGTAAAAAGACCGAAACTAAGGTGAAACAAAAAAAGGAAGTAATGTCAAAATAAAAGCCGGACAGGAAGCAGCGGAACCGAATCATGACATTGCCCTGATTCATGAGTTCATATATTGTACAGTAATGGTTGTATTTATGGATGAAACAATTAGCACATAGTATCTAGAGGGTTTTGTTAGATGCATTCATGTCTTAAAAATAAACTGTAACTTTTATTTATTTATTAGGTGTCAAATGCACTGACTAGAAAACTATTATGAACACTTCTTAGCCATAATGTTTCACAGTTAACTCCCTCAGTTTCAAAACACCATATTATACATTAAAGGTATTAAATTACTTTCACTTTTACTTGTGTAAAAAGGAAAGGGATAGCCCTTACAAACAATAAGATTAAAGCTTGGTTTTCCACAAATGTTGATAATGAATCAACACACTGCATCTGAGCGGAATGATAAGCTATGAATAACACAGGCACATATTCAGGTTTAAATGTGTGAATTTTACAGTGAGTTTACTGTAGGCTCATTCTCACACATGCTGTCAGGAAAATGTCTTCTATTCTCAACACAAGTGGGATACACCTGCTATAGATACATACTTGAATATGAAGTAAATAAAATGTAAAAATAACCTTAAGTGCTATCCCATCTCTGAAAGGAAACAGCTGTTACATTTATTAAAAACAAAGTATTTTAAAAGTAGCTCAGTATTCTTAGTATCTCAGATGATGTTGCTATTGGATGATTCTGCAGTAGACTGTACAATCCGGACAATACATCCACACCCTATTGATAGATCAATGGTAAAGCTATTTTACTCCGGTAACCGATGATGTTTCGTAGGCTCCTCCACACTGACAACGGCTCATTGGCCAGTCACTGATTTTTCAGCCTTTCAGAGTAGCTCCTCTTTGCTAAACTGATCTCCGTTGTCAGTGTGTTTCTAGCCTGGTTATACAGGGTCCTGTCCCCACTCCTGTAGGCCTCCTCTTTGGCATGACAGAGATATTTGAGCTTCACTGTGAACCAAGGTTTATTGTTATTGTATGTGCAGAGAGTGTTAATGAGCACACACATGAAGCAGTGACATTGGGGAGTATGCATTCAGTAATCTGCAGTGGAATACTGCAGTGCAGATTACTGAATGCATACTCCGGTTACAAACCTTGTTCACGTGCAGCTGTTTAATGATGTGTGACTACAGTGTAAATGTTAGTGTTTCAAAAGATGTGCTTTGTGCTGGACTCTTTACTTTATGCTTGGCTCTGTTGAACTGTATATTCACCAGCTGCACTCCCTGAAAACTAAATCAGAATCAGTCACCATAATAACATAAGTGGAAAATTATCAACAGTATCTTTGTGGTCTGCGTCAAATATAACTGAAATCAATGTACAATGACCACTATAGTCAGGATTCACACTGAATATAACTGTAGCATTATGTGAGGAAGAATAAGGATGATAGAAACATATTTTCTAAGTATTCCAAAAGCGTGTGTATTGATTAAATCTGTTCTTCTTGTCTGCTGCTTGTGTATAGATTGGCTGCAAGGTGGTCGTGACCTTTTTCCTGTACTTTCTGGCGACTAATTACTACTGGATTCTTGTTGAGGGTCTCTACCTCCACAGCCTCATCTTCATGACTTTCTTCTCAGATAGAAAGTATCTATGGGGATTTACTCTGATTGGGTGGGGTGAGTCTTGCTTCACTTAAATTCTATTTGCATGCACATAGTTACAATAAGATTAGCACACTTATCTTATGTAAAGTATTTAATTTTTAATAGTTTTGAATAGAAGTGGGAAGTGCTGTCAGGTCCCTTGCTGATATTGTTTGATCAAGTTAGCAAGGATAATGGAAACTGTAAAACACATGCATGAATATGGGTTTTACAGTTCCTGCATTGTACACACTGTGCATTTAACTTATGTAAGCACAGCGCATACAATGTGGATACTGTGTTACCCAGATTCTACCCATATGAGCAAATTGTGGTCTTTCCTTTTGGAATAATTTTGAGCATTTTCTTGTAGCGATAACAATTTACATGTCTTTTATTTTATGTTTCAGGAGTACCAGCTATGTTTGTGACAGCCTGGGCAGCTGTCAGAGCCATATTTGCAGACACAGAGTAAGTGATCTGCATAAATAATATAAACATTTTTGTGAAATACTAAGTTCATGAGGCAAAGAGAATGTTAATGTTGAATGAAGAAGTTTTATTTTACTGATGCCATTTGGTGTTTTTGGAAATGATCTATAGCACATACAGTACTGTATCTCTATCTGGTATTAGTATTCACAAGACAAATTGAAGACAGGTTTGAAAGCTGAATAAAAAAAGTTTTAAAGTGGATTTGTCTTCAACCTGTCTGTGGACAGAGCTTGCAAAGAGAAACTGGCTCAGCCCAACTTGGTGGCCCCTCAGTCTCCTCAGGTTTGACACTGCCTGCTGTCTACCGTGGTCCTGTACCATGGTACAACATTGTGGACTCTGGAGCTGAGAGGTTATGGCTAGCAGCTGGGTAGTGAAGCTTAGCCACCTTCCCCTTCTCAGCCACCAGGAGAGCAACAGAACATTTCTACCACCCTTCTAGATTTTTTTGGGCAGGAAAACAAACCAAGGATTATAATAACCACAGCTCAGACATGTGCATTCAGCAGCAATTGGTATTATGGGACTACATGAATGATAGGCATCTGGCTGAAAATCAAATGATGCTGCACTGGTTAAAATCAACCTAAAACAAACACTATCTGTGAATTTTGTCTGAAGATATACTAATTTTTCTTTTTGCTAAATGCCACATATACTGTATACAGAAAAACACAGGAGATGACCTCAGTGTCCACACTCATAGCTAGAGTCCTAGTTAGCTTTGATTTCAACTTAAAAAGGAGGTTTTGTTATTTCAGAACTTTGATGCAAACAAATTTTTTTTGCAGAATTACAGAAGCCCTGGAACATGGAGGAGTGTTATGTGAATGCTTCATTTCATGAGAAAACATCATGTACAGAAAGTATTTATTTACAACTCTGAACTAGAGGGGGAGATAGAGTCAAGGCCTTCTCTAAGCCTCTGTCTAAATCCTATCATTTTCTGAACTGATGGCAGTGATTTTTAGAGATACCACAGTGGAACAGAGGGACTCTGCATCATCACATCTAGCAGTTAGATCCTTATTTATATCGTGATGATCCCTGTTTTGTTGTTGTCTATCTACTGCAGGTGTTGGGACTTAAGTGCAGGCAATCTGAAATGGATATATCAAGCACCAATCCTGGTGGCTGTAGCAGTAAGTAGATGCTCACTGCTGGCACCTTTCCCCTGCTGTGTCTGACATGACAGTGATTCACTTTACCTGAGGCATCACAGCTGTAGGGTAAGACTTTATTATGTTCAGGGTGGCACTTAACCATATGATTGTGTTTCTATTTTCTCTCCAGGTGAACTTTATATTATTTCTGAACATCATCAGAGTCTTGGCAACTAAACTACGAGAAACAAATGCTGGAAGGTGTGACACCAGGCAACAGTACAGGTACTGAGTACTAGCCTTGAGTAAAATTAACATTTTCATTTCTGAATCTTACTAGAGCAGCTGCTCCTTTTGATTCATTCACCATGTGACACACTGTATTTGTAACCTTCACGATTTCCAGCAAGATACAACCATAAAGGTATTCAGTCATATTTCATTTGCATCAGACACAGTATGCAGATTATAAATGGTACATAATAATGTCATGAACCAATGACTGCAAATGATTATCAGTACAGATTAACTAGGCTGTTATTAATTTATTTTTTATTATTGTAATCCCCGGGGCCTCCTCCCGGTGGGACATGCCTGGAAGGCGTTCCGGGAAGACCCAGGACACGCTGGAGGAGAGGGACTATGTCTCTCAGCTGGCCTGGGAACGCCTTGGCATTCCCCCGGACGAGCTGGAGGAAGTGTCTGGAGAGAGGGAAGTCTGGGCATCTTTGCTTAGACTGCTGCCCCCGCGACCCGGTCCCGGATAAGCGGAAGAAAATGGATGGATGGATGGATTATTGTAATCATTATGTCTCAAAAAGTTCTGTAAATAGTTATAAATGTTGTTTCAGTTTTATAGGGTCCAAGGTGAAGTCTGTTTTCAATGCGTGCCCATGCCCTGGCAGTGAACTTACATGAACAACACTACTTCTTATCTTATCAATTACAATATTTAGCCAAATCGATACAGAAGCACATTTAAAAGAGCTTGAAGATAGAATTAGAAGAAAATCAATGCAAAAACACTTCAGCTGCAGACTTTGCCTTCCTACTGCAATCAGTCAAGAAAATGAACACTTTAATCACTTTAACTCTGACAGAAAGTGAACAAACTCACTAAATCATCACTAACACCATGTATCCATACACTCCAGTCTGGCACAGTCAGCACAAAGGCACCATTCACCTTCATCATCTATCTGAAAATAGCCAGGTTACATCATTCAGCACACTAGTATGGAGCTGGGGGAGAACATTTCCTCCAGTACCAGCAATTAAAATCCATAATTGAATCAAAGATCAGTATACACATTAACCCAGAAATTGAAAATAGCAAATTCCAGGAAAATAATATCTAAACTTTATGAACTCATATCAAATGCAGACACAACAGTAACACAATCAATGACAAAATTGGAAAATGATTTGACTCCACTCCAACACCGACTTTGAAAAGAAACCTGTAATATCCTTTTCTATGACCAGCAATACAATTGTAAGACTTACACAGTACAAGATCATTCAAGGACTCACACCACCCAAGGTAAAATGTGTAAAATGGGCCTAACTGACACAGACACTTGTTCACACTGCAACTTGGGTAGCACTGATGATTACTTCCATGCCACTTGAGCCTGCCAGCCAGTTCACTCCCTGTGGACTGTGGTGACAAAAGAAATTCTCCACTATTTCAAGCTGCAGTCCATCCATCTTCTTCACTTTGTTTGCTCTGAAATATCATAGAAGTTGACAATCTTCCAAACAAATATATATAAAAAAAAAAAATTAATAGAGCAATTAACTATGGAGAATGATACGCTGCATCATATGCTGGTGGTTTGGTAAACTGTTGCATAGTATTTTGCTTTAATTATGAGATGTTACTGTCCTGTTACTGTTGCAGAAAACTGTTGAAGTCCACACTGGTGCTGATGCCACTGTTTGGTGTCCACTACATTATATTCAATGCCATGCCATATACAGAGGTGTCTGGAGTTCCCTGGCTGATCCAGATGCACTATGAGATGCTGTTTAACTCCTTCCAGGTAAAGCTGGTGTGGTATAAACTCCTGCAGCTGCTAATTTATTACTGAGAGCTCCACATAAATATTAATGGGTCATTTGATGGATCAGGATTTGTCCTCGGGTTAACATGCCTTTATCAGCAAAAACACTGCCAGTATCAAAGGAAAACACTAGGAGAGATCATTTATTTAACACTTGTTTATTGTTGAGATATTTGGTTGTGGCTAGATCTTAATTGAGATAAAGGGTGTTCGATGATTAAAAACAGATACACTGAATATCAGATTATACAGCTAATATGTCAGATTATGTACACACTAAAGATAGCTGGAAATTCATGGATGATAGGAGTAAAATCATTCTGTACTCTTTTCCAGGGATTCTTAGTTGCAATTATATACTGCTTTTGCAACGGGGAGGTAAGAACACAAAACACTGTGTATGTTACAGCAAACTACTACATAATATTTAAGTTCTTATATAGCTAAATACCTTCTTCTCTTATAAGGTGCAAGCTGAGATCAAGAAGGCCTGGAGCCGGAGGACTCTGGCGCTGGACTTCAAAAGAAAAGCTCGGAGTGGCAGTAACACTTACAGCTATGGACCGATGGTATCGCACACCAGTGTTACCAACGTCACTGCCAGAGGCCCGCTGGCTCTCCACCTCACCACGAGGCTGGGACCAGCAACTGTGAATGGGCACCGGAACCTCCCGGGGTATGTGAAAAACGGCTCCATCTCAGAGAACTCTATACCTTCGTCAGCACAGGAGCTCCACATTCCTGAAGAAGAGCATTCTGCTCACACACGGCCCTGTGAAGATGAGAAACCCTCGCCTGTGGTGGAGGAGGAGAGGGAAACAGTCATGTGATCTCCAGAGAGCTGTGTATAGGAATGGAAACTGGAAAAGCAAATGGCACAGTCTCAGGATGATCTGAGTGGGATGTCTGCATGTGTCAACACTGCCAGCTTTTTCTCCTGTGAATCGAGCCAGAACATTACTGACTGGTGAGACTGAAGGCAAAAAGGGTGTATCACTTTCATGAGCTGGACCGCCTTTATTTGAAGGATGCTGACCCTCAGTGTTGTGGCAAATACTCTCAACTCTGTCAACAACCACCTGCCACAGTGAATGTGTAAAAGGTTGAAAACAGACTGCCATTTCTTATTTGTCCTCCACTGCCTGAACTGTTGTTATCTTGTTTCCTGGTGCTTTATTGGCAAATGTCTTGTGCTCAGCTTGTGTGCTTAATTAAAACTGGGGTTAATTACAGTTACAGTGACCAGGAAGAGCCTTAATTACCAATGTAAAGCCAGGTGGATTTTGAGTGCACTAAGTGGTGCATGTGTGGGCAAGTTCCCTAACAAGTTTTTGGATTAAATCAGTGGGAGTAGGCTAAGTGTTGGTTTGGCTTAAAAAATTATTAATACAACTATTTTGAGGGACGTGTTCATGTTTTTTGGCATAAATTTAATTTGTTCTGCATTTCCTTAAATCCACTTCAGTGTAAAAGGGAAGGTACTCAAGTAATTGAAGTCCTCTGTTGTTGCACACCTATGATTATACTTTAGTGGTGCTTCAGGATGGTCATCACTTCTCTCATGAGGATGTGGGTATGTAAGGCTGTGTTATACCTTCTTTTTTCAAAGTGTACAATTTGTGCTGTTCAGAAAAACCCAGTATTCATCTCTCTAATTACATACAACAGATTATAACAGAGATAAAATTAATGTTTCATATTCAGATTTCTTCCAAAAATACCTAACAAACATACATGAACATGATGCTGAAGTAAGAATATTATTTTTCCTGAATGTCTTTGCAGTCAGGGTGAGTTGAGGTAAAGGAGAATTTTATAGAAATGTGAGGAGGAGACCTCATTTAAGAACAAAGGGTGGAGGAAATGGCTGCATATTCAAGTGGAATGTTTATTAAATGAGGAAACCAAGAAAATGTCAAATTCTCCTCGAATTCCAAGAGTAAGATTTGTGGTGGATATGAAAGTAAACCGAGAAATGGTTAAAACGGTAAATTTGGCAGATGGTCCAGTTTTGTGCTGCTTTTTGACGTACAGTATATATACAAGTCACAATGTTTACAAAAGTCAAAAATACGTTCTAAGTGTGAGCTAACAGTGTTCATGTGTATGGATATGTTATAAAGCCGTATTTCAGTGTGCATTTTTTTCATGTGTTCTGTTTACAGAATGTTTGTAATAGTAGATAATGTACATAATTCAAAACTGGTGAATATATTTACAGGTGACAGGGCGTTCAAACTAGCATTTAATGAAGCATTCCACGAAATATTTTTAACTCTGCACCTTGTAACTTACTGCACTTATCCTGCAGCGTTTGCAGGTTAGGTCATATAATCTATTATACCAAAGAGTAGAGACATGATATGTTGCAAGAAAAAAAATGTTATATTGCAGGATTTCTGTTTTTTTTTTTAGCCACCATCTTGGTTACAATGACCAACAAGTGTTAAAAGTCACCCAGTCTCCAAAACATTTACTTGCTATTGGAAATTAGTGTCAGAAAAATGTCATGGTAAAAGTGTTGAAATACAGACCCCAGAGCTTTGTTGCCAATCCTCTGCTTGGCGTTTTTTAAATTTTGTAATTTTTTAAATGTTTTTTTCTCAAGAGCTGTATTGGTTGCATTTTAAAATATATTTTTTTGTGAAAACAAATGTGGTTGTATATAGCATATGGTATAAAACTACTGCAAGATAGAGGAACACATTTATGTTTCTGGTTTACAGATAGCCCCAACAATTATTTGAACCACACAATTTTCTGCTGATCACAGCTTGTCAGAAGTCTGAGAAGTGCATTTTTACCCTTGCGAGATTCAAAGTGAACCCATCTTGGACATTTCCATGGGAACAGTCAGGATTTCAACTTGAGGCTGAGTGGAATAACTCCAACAGTAATTATAGTTGGCTGCCCAGTGATGAAAGAAGGAAAGGACTAAGACTGAGGGAAGCTTTTGTCACTTCTTTTGATAATACAGTGGCATTTTGTCAGCACGATTGTTGTATGTACAACATTTAAAATTGCAGCTGACTGAGTTTCTGGGTTTCTACTAATTGCCACTGGGCAAGTACAAATTATGTTACCATTGTGTAATCCAGACCGCTTTTAATTAAATGGATAGACAGTATCCGAGCGTAAAAATCTTTTATTTAAAAAACTATTTGAAAATTATATTTGAGCACTTTAATACCATGCAATACAACAGTTCATTCTGATTGTTTCATGTAAAATGGTTGTGTTTTGGAATCAAGTGTACAATAAGGCCAATAATCACAGAGCTAACATTGTATTTCATCATTTTCAAATACCTCTCTTGGAAATATAAAATGTGTGTCATTGTCTTTTATTTATCTTGTGCTGAAATGTATTCAGTGGGCTTGACATTGGTCTGCATGCTTTAGATGATGTGTGGGCAGTGTTTTCTAACACTCATGATGTAGGCACCTTGTACAGTAAATATCAGTGTAAACTTGGAATAAAACAGGAAGATGTATTCTGCTTGCTAATGTTCTTTATTGAATTGTTAATAACTCAATAAATGTGTAATTTGACTGTACTCAGATTCTATCTTTCAAGATTCTGGTGAAAACAAAACACCAATATTGGACAGTCTCTTATATACATTTTTTGTTGTTGTTGTTTATTTTTATTATGTTGTTTTATAAATTTTATTTCAGAAAAAAGTGCCAAAAATACTTAGAAAAATGTGAAATGATCAGGCAGAGTTCACCTCTGAGCTCTCTTGGCTCCCCCTCTTTTGCTTCCACTGTCTCCTTTATCTCTTTTGTCGCCTTTCTCTCCAGATTTCTTCCCTTTTCCTTCACTGTCTTCTTTCTTGGATGCTCCTTTTTCACCCTTCCTCTTTGTTGATGCATCCTTTTCATCTCCTTTACCTTCTTTGGCACCCTTTCCCTCTTTCTTGCCCTCCTTGGCCCTCTTCTCTCCTTTATTAGCATCCACTTTTCCAGAGACTGTTGTCACCTCCTCAGTTTCCTCTGCTTTTGCAGCTGAAGGAAAACGAGAAAACAATGGTTAAAAGCTTCATGGCAGGAATCAGCATCATTGGGGTCCTGCCGCTCACAGTAATTAAAATGAAGAATTTAATCCAACAGGATGCCAGGCTAACTAGGCTGCATGTAATGAAGGCATGCCTGTTTCTATTTGTTCTAATTAGCATAGTCTAGTTATTCTTTTAATGGGACTGTTTGAAGTGCATTCTTGATGAGAAATGTAGAACAAGTTTGCAGCTTTGTAGACCTTTTTCTCATTAATCCGGAGGTGACATCTTGAGGAGGTACAGTAAATGGCTAACAGAGGTTGTGGTTGAATATCTCCACTTAGAAGTGTGAGGCCAGGGAATACTACATTTACTTTAAGTATCAGATATAATGAATCTGATATTTACAAGAAATCCATTTTCTTCTAGACCTTTCAAAATCTTTTGAGAAATTGGGAATTGGGCTTTCTTGCAGAGCACTAGTCTAGTAAATATAGTGCTACAGACAGGAAACAGGTAAACACCTCACCTGGCTCTGTTTGACAGCAAAAAAAATCCAAATAAAAGCCCTTGTAAAACTCACTTATAGCTCATTTATTTGTTCCATACTGTAGAGTTTGTTATGTAGGTGTAATGGTGATAAATTGTGGCCACTGAGGTAACCACTGCAAACTTCACAACAAAAACATGACTTCAGGAAATTACTGCTCTGAGTAAAGAGGTAGTTAGACATACTACTCCCCTTAATAACACAAAGCCGTTAATTTTACACCTTAGATTTTGTACAGGTCAGAAAACCAAGATATAGGTGTGATTTAGAAATGCACTTAAGTGGATTTTGTGAGCTTTAGAGTCAATGTCCACTCTGCTTCTAGTCCTTCCACTAAACTAATCTTAGTGTAAAGACGGAAAATTTCAAAATATTGCTTTAATTTCTCCTTCACTTTCTCACACTGTGTTTGCAACAGGTTTTGGCTGTAAAACTGCTTTCTGTTGTCATTTTTGCCCCAGATGTTTTTAATAGTTCACTAAGCATAGAACTGCAGGGGAAATGGAAGTGCAGAGAAAAATTTTAACTAAATATGTCAGACATCTTAATGGTGCAAAAATGTGTATCTTACAAAACTAACCTAGGTCACTGTCCAAATATCTAGCCTGTTTCCTCAGCTTGTAATCAATTCATACATTTTTATCACCAAAGTATTTTGCTTCTCCAAATGAATAAAAAGATTTTATAAGCTTCTGATATGCCTGAAAAATGTGTTTATGCACACACCCGAGAGATAATGTTTGGCATCTTATATCAGGCAATTAGGTGATGTTTTTACAGATTTTTCTGGGAGAACATTTTATAAGTGTGCTGTTGCTTTGCCAAATCAAGCCTTCACTTTATGAAAGTTTTATCAAAAGTTTTGATTACAGATACATTCCACAGCACTGCATTCACTCTACGTTCTTTCTATGTGGTGATTTGTTTTGTCAGACTATTAGTCCATATTTCATTCCAGTGTACCCTAAGTATAATCAGTGGAGAAAGGCAGCAATCTGCATATTTGCTTATAGATTTATGTTACCCTTCCCTTTAGTTCATCCAGAACCAAATGTTACAGTTTGCTTGAATTAATGTGTTTATCCTCACTCTTTATAATGGCTCTCATCACCTTGATTCAGCTCCTCTCCCAGCCACTGTGGTCACGAAAGAGGATTTATTCAAATGCCTATTAAATATTTAAATTAACTTTCTACAATGACACTATAACCTAAGAGATACAGATACCCTCTTATGTGATTTTCCCAGTGGCATATCTTATCTGATGCAATTATCTTGTTAAAAAAATACAAACTTTATGGCAGTTTTGTGCTTTTTTCTTCCAGAATTATTTCACAATAACCAATAAATGTACTTCTGCACACAAATGCATCATATATCATCAAGAGTCCATATTTGTCACCATGAAAAAGCAGCTAAGCAGCAAATACAGCTTAGATACAGGCAAGGCAACACACCAAACTCCTGAGAGAAAGAAGAAACATACAATAAGAACAAGAACATTTAATCATGAGTGAGACCTGTGCTGACACCCATCATACAGTAAGCACAAACAAACATGAGGTATGCTGCATGCTAAACAATTTGCATTGATTACTGATGCAATTATCTTTGTTCCAAAATTTTGATAAAGTCATCAGTCATTTGCACTTGGCATTTTCATGGATGTATACATGAACCAAAATGCATCTATATTAGAAACATCTAGGTTTTAAGAAACAGCTTCACAAAATACAGAAGTATAAACTACAAATGTCCAGCTGCCCTAAAGGAATCATATTTGCAACAGCAGTACAATGTGTATTTTGTAGCTACGGCATTTTCTACTGCTGCACTACAACTTCATTACCGAGTAAAATTTGGGAAATTGTGCTCTATTTTCTTGTTGTTAATTTCAAAAATGATGTGGTAAGCAAATGAATGAAAGATGCATCGTTGTTTGTTCAAATTTCATTCCAAAAGCATTTAAAGAATAGCAGATGCAGACTAGCTACAGGATAGATGTGCTTTGAGCATGCCTAGCAATGTATACACTATGTGTTTTTAAAGTCACTTAGCCAAGGAGAGTGTCTGAGAGAAGACAGGAACAGAAGAAAAGAATCATCCAGTCTCTGGCAAAGTGAGAGAGCTCGGGTGCTCCTCGTTGACCCTAGCTATTGAGAGCTGGCTGGTGTTAATACTCTGTGTTTGGACCTGCTCAGAGACCGACTGTAATGCAGAGGCCTCTGGGTTAGCTGGAGAGGAGAGGAGAGGAGAGGAGAGGAGAGGGGAGGAGAGGGAAGGGAAGTGAAGAGAAGAGAAGAGAATGAAGAGAAGAGAAGAGAAGAGAAGAGAAGAAATTTAGTGGGATATAGCATAAAACAGACTCTAATCAAGTGCAGGAAATTTTATGAGGTAAAAAGAGACAATGAAAATTTCAAGTTAAAGCTGAAATGATGTCATGTAAAAAGACGGCTGTCCTTTTAGCCTTAATCATAGAAACAGCAAAGAGTCTTGTAATTTCTCCTGATTTTCAGATCTTTTGTATAAAGCAATAACAGACTGGTCTAAGTAGGTATAATGTACTCAGTGCACTTTATTAATATGACAGGACTTCAATTTATGAAAGAATCATGCATCTCTCCTTTTTACATTTGGGCCCACCAAGCTGCCCTGTGCAGCTTCAAACAGAGAATTAAAAGAAACACTGGCACAACAGAAAACAAGCACATTAATTTCAGGAAAGCACCACAATCGGCATACAGAGTTAGTGCTCTTGCTTGTTATTCTTAACAATTTAATATTATCAATATTGGAATGGTGTTAAAGAGATACTTACATCCTGGCATTTCAGTCAACTCATTCAGAGGTGGCACTGTCTCTAATGTGTTGGCGTATTTCTTGGCGGCCAGTCTTTGTGCGTGGCGTGCCTCTATTTCCTTTTTGGTCCTCGGGATTCGACATTTGAATATACAACACAAAGTGATAACTGAAGGAAAGCAGAAAAACCAGATACACAGTGAGTTAATTTGAACATAACATATTGCTATTGGCAACAGCTTATACAGTAGGATCAGTGACCCAAATTACAAAAATATATTTTTTTAGCTTGGCTCTAACTATTGGTTTGAATTTTGGTTTTAGTTGTTGTTCCCATTACTCAATCAAGTAACAATCAAAAGGAATATGAGTTCTATGTTTTTGAAGCCCATAGTTGAAAAGGAAATTATAGAGATAGTGAACAAATTTGGTAATAAAACATCTAGTGATAGTGATGGTATCACTATGACAATGGTTAAATGGGTAATTGAGGGGATATGCAAACTGTTAACCCATGTTTTTAACATGTCGTTTCGACTTGGGCAGTTCCCCAAAAATATGAAAAAAGCAAAGGTTATTCCACTGTATAAATCTGGTGATAAGCACAACTTCACAAATTATAGACCGGTTTCTCTGTTGTCAAAATTTTCAAAAATCTTGGAAAAAC